ACCCACCGTTAGGAGTGGACGCTTTTGCCCACAGCCCATGGCCAAAAATGCTCCTTTACGCGTTTCCTCCAGTCCCTCTAATATCACGCTTTCTGAACCGAGTCCGGGAGGAAGAACGGTCAGTCATCCTTGTAGCCCCCGAGCGCCCCGTGGTTCCCAAACCTGCAACGTCTGTAATCGGGCTGGCCGTGGAAACTGCCGTGGAGGGACAACGCTTTCCTTCAGGTGGGAGGAGCGATCAGGAGTCACCCAGAAATAGGCCAGCACCTTTGGGTCTGGCCGCTGAGCGTATCCGCTTAGAGAAAATGGGTCTCTCTCAAGAAGTGGTGTGCACAATCCAAGACTCATGAGCCGCTTCCACCACAGTGCTGTACACATCAAAGTGGACAGCTTTTCAGCGCTGGTGCACGGAAAAAGGTGTAGAGGCCATCTCATGTCCACTAGGTGGCATGCTGTCCTTTCTGCAGCAGCTGATGGACAGAAATCTAGCGTTCAACACAATTAAGACTAATGCTGCAGCTATTTCTTCTTGTCACGAGGGCTTCGGTGACAGAACAGTTTTTAATCACCAGCTGATGAAGCGTTTCCTAAAAGGTGTACGGAGACACAGACCGATGTCATGCCCACTAGCTCCACAGTGGGACCTAACGATGGTTCTGTGAGCTCTGATCAAAGCTCCTTTCAAGCCTTTAGATCAGGTTTCACTTAAATTCCTGTCACTTAATGATGTTGATGTACAGAGCGTCAGGATTGGATTCTCCAGAGAATCTCAGAGCTCATTCCACCAGAGGGATTTCATTCTCTACAGCTTTGCATGGAGGGATGACAGTGGAGGACATTTGTACGGTGGCCGCTTGGTCATCGCCTTGTTCATTTATTCACTTTTATCTGTGTGATGTTTCCACCTTCTCTATTCTGTTCTCGGTGTTCTAACAGAATGATTTTTACTTGTTTCATGGAATTTTGTTTTAAACTCACATCTGACTGCATGCAATTACAGTGTGAGACATTTATTATCAGTCACAAGTTCATGACTGCCGTTTTTATTGTTACTAATCAGTTCATAACTACTATTACCAATCAGTTCATTTGATTACTAATCAGTTCATTTGTTATTAATCAGTTCATATTGTATCCAAGATGGCGCCGTGTACGGTCGCCCTGGCATTCTGGTGCGCTCTGTTTTTTCTGTGTTTGTGCTTTAATCATGTGTCTGCATGCTCCTACACTCGCGAGGAGCTACTAAACATCAGAATTACAACCCATGAGGACATTACTCCAGTTTTTTTAGTGCCTGCTGCAGAACTTGTGCACTTTTTGGCCAAAAGAGTGAGACTTCACAGGAGGGGCAGAAGAGCCGGAGCGCTCTTGCGTCTCCGGAGGCGCGGTACACGCACGCCTTTACCTGGGATATTTCTCTCCAACATCCGTTCCCTCTACAATAAAATGGACGAGATAGCGCTGCTGATGAGAAGGAACAGCGATTTTTCCTCCTCCTGTGTGCTGTGCTTCACGGAGACATGGCTTAAGGAGCAGACCCCGGACTCCGCGCTCCATCTGGAGGGTTTCCAGCTCCTCCGCGCTGACAGACAGCGGGAACATTCCGGAGGAAAGAAAAAAGGCGGAGGAGTCTGTTTCTTTATCAACAATGCCTGGTGCTCCGACGTGACAGTGATCTCCCAGCACTGCTCTCCTTCTCTGGAATATCTCTTCATAAACTGCAAACCGTTCTACTCTCCACGTGAGTTCACTTCATTCATTCTGGCCGCTGTTTACATCCCACCGTGCGCGGACGTGCACGAGGCTGAGCGCGCGCTCGCGGACCAGATTACGAGTGTAGAGCAAACTTTTCCGGACTCCCTTGTTATCATCCTTGGAGATTTTAACAAAGCAAACCTCAGGCATGAACTACCTACATATAAACAGTTTATTACATGCCCGACAAGAGAAGGAAACACGCTGGATCACTGTTACACCACAGTGAGCGGTGCTTATCGTGCTGTGCCTCGTGCTGCCCTGGGTCTCTCAGATCATGAGATGATTCACCTCATACCTGCATACAGACAGAGACTGAAGCTCTCAAAACCTATGGTGAGGACATCCAAAAAGTGGACCAGTGAAGCTGTGGAGGAGCTACGCACGTGTTTGGACACCACAGACTGGGACCTGTTCAGGGCTTCTACAGACAGTCTAGACGAATACACAAACACTGTGACGTCATATATACATTTCTGTGAGGACAGTATCATCCCATCACGCTCCAGAGTCATTTTCAATAATGATAAACCCTGGTTCACATCCAAACTAAGACAGCTTCGTCAGCAGAAGGAGGCTGCTTTCAGAGAGGGGGACAGAGACAACTACAGACGTGCGAAGTATGGATTTAGCAGGGAGGTGTCGAAGGCTAAATCCAGGTACAATGCACGGCTGCAACAACAGTTCTCTGCAAACGACTCTGCCTCTGTCTGGAGGGGGCTGAAAGAGATAACTAATTACAAGCCCAGAGCACCTCATTCTACAGACAATCTCAAACTGGCAAACGATCTGAACGACTTCTATTCACGCTTTGAAGTCATGGACTCACATTCCTCCATCCTCCACACCAACCCCAGCTCAACTGGTTTAACCACTTGGGACTGCCCCCGACAACCCCCTGCTATCTCTGTACAAGAGGATGAAGTAAGGAGGCTTTTTAAAAGACTGAATACACATAAGGCTGCAGGCCCAGACCTTGTGTCACCCTCCACGCTGAGACATTGTGCTGGAGAGTTGGCTCCGGTCTTCACAGGGATCTTCAACTCTTCACTGGAGTCATGCCACGTCCCAGCCTGTTTCAAGTCCTCCATCATCGTCCCTGTCCCCAAGAAGCCACGTGCCACAGGACCAAATGACTACAGACCTGTAGCTCTCACGTCTGTAGTCATGAAAACCTTTGAACGCTTGGTTTCATCTCACCTCAAGTCCATCACCAACCCCCTCCTGGACCCCCTGCAGTTTGCCTACAGGGCCAACAGGTCTGTAGATGACGCAATAAACCTGGCTCTTGACTTCATCCTGCAGCACCTGGACTCCCCAGGAACCTACGCCAGGATCTTGTTCGTGGACTTCAGCTCCGCATTTAACACCATCCTCCCTGCTCTGCTCCAAGACGAGCTCTCCCTGCTCCATGTACCTGACTCCACCTGCAGGTGGATCACAGACTTCCTGACAGACCAGAGTCAGTGCGTGCGGCTGGGGAGAGCTGTCTCGGACTATAAGCACAGGATCTCCACGGGGCTGTGTGCTTTCCCCCCTGCTTTTCTCCCTGTACACCAACTGTTGCACCTCCAGCCATGACTCTGTGAAACTTATAAAGTTTGCAGATGACACCACCCTCATCGGGCTCATCTCGGACGGTGATGAGTCTGCATACAGGAGGGAGGTGGACCGGCTGGTGACCTGGTGCAGCAGCAACAACCTGGAACTCAATGCCCAGAAGACAGTGGAGATGATTGTGGATTTCAGGAAAGCCACAGCCCCTCTGCCCCCCCCCCCTCACCTGTAATGATACCCCCATCACCACTGCAAATTCTTATCGGTTCCTCGGCACCACCATCACCCAGGACCTCAAGTGGGAGCCAACCATCAGCTCCCTCATCAAGAAGGCCCAGCAGAGACTGTACTTCCTGCGACAGCTGAAGAAGGCCAAGCTGCCGGCCAAGCTGATGGTGCAGTTCTACACGGCCATCACCGAGTCCATCCTCAGCTCCTCCATCACGGTGTTGTACGCCGGGGCCACTGCCAGGGACAGACTCAGACTGCGCTCAGCTGAGAAGGTGATCGGCTGCAGCCTTCCATCCCTCCACGACCTGTACGTCTCCAGGACTGTGAGGCGAGCAGGTCGGATCACAGCTGACCCTGCTCACCCTGCACACGGACTGTTTGAACCACTCCCCTCAGGCAGGAGGCTTTGGTCCATTCAGACCAGAACCTCCCGCCATAAGAACAGTTTCTTCCCCTCTGCTGTTGGACTCCTGAACACTCATAATGCTACCTCATAATGTCTGCTTTGGTCACATTACATCTGTATTATAACTGAATACTCCATCTGTACTGTTTTCTAAGCTTTTTTATTGTTTTCTATTGTATGGGTGTACATATGGTTATGTTATGTTTTTAATTTTACTTTATTTGTGGGTGTACACAGGCTTATGTCTTATGTAATGTTCTCATTTTTACTTAATTTTTACTTTATTTTTACTTTATTTTACTTTACTACTATTCGCACCTTATGTCGAAGCAAATTCCTAGTTTGTGAACCTCGTTCATTGACATGGTGATAATAAACTGATTCTGATTCTGATATTGAAGAGCAGTTGACCTGCTCTGCTCATCGTTACACGGTTACAATTTGTAACCTCTGTTCTTTTCCATTCTCGGCAGCAGGACTGCATTTCAGCCGTCCCTTTTCCCCGTCGGAGACCTTTTCTCTCCGGGGCGCTCCTGTGCATGGAAGCAGAAGGCTGAGTTGATTAAATGTTTTTTCGTGCAAGCGGGCGCTTCATATTGTGTCTGAATGGACCCAGTGAGGCATAGACTTCATCCTGCTTCGCCTTTAACTCACTAGCAATAGCCTTAAAGGGCGAAGCCTATACGAAATAGAACATTGGTTAAGTACTGTAACCCCAGATTCTATGAGTATAGGCACAGCCCTTTAAGCTCTGGGCCTCACTGGTTCCTAAATGGCTGAAGAAAAAAAGCTATTTGGGAGCCAATTACCCGGTCTCACCATAATTTATATGGACCGGGGGTGAGGCCCACACAGCAGGTGGGCGTGGACTAAAGTTTTCAGTGCTGCACGCGAAGGGATAAACCCACTAGCGATAGCCTTAAAGGGCTGCGCCTATACTCATAGAATCTGGGGTTACAGTACGTGACCAACGTTTTCCAGATTATTAACATTGCTGCCAATTGACTTATCAGAAATGGATTAGCAAATGTTTTTTCCTTTGTTCCTCTAGCATGCAGGAGATTTGGGGCGGCAGTGGAGTCAGAAGACTGCTCAGGCTGCCACTGCCACAGTGAACTACTGGTGGGGGAGGTACGAGGAGTTTGTTGGGCTCAATGAGGTCCGAGAAGCTCAAACCAAAGTCACCGAGGTCAGCAGATGTTGAGAATTATATTTGCTTCCATGTTCAGTCGCTCTACACTGATGTGTAAAACCTGAAAAACATTTATTCTCATCAGTTTAACGGCACTAAAAACTATAGTTTCAATGTTTTTAATGAAATTATACAATTATTAATGTCTTCAGCTATGAGCTAGGGTTTTAAGAGTACTACTGTGTGACAAGATGGGTATTTTCAGGCTGAATCGGCGTTCATGGTGGCCAGAGGGATTGTACGTGAGGCTCATGTGAGCCTGGAGGCCCTGCAGGGTCGACTGAAAGAGGTCCGAGACCGGCTGGACAGGGTGTCCAGGGAGGAGGTTCATTATCTGGAGCTGGCTACGCTGGAGCACAAACTGCTGCAGGTTAGCTGAGGCAAGAACAGCCGATAAAATTAACTGTTGCTTCAGTTGTTTTTTTTTTTTTTGTTTGTTTGTTTTATGTTTGTTTGATAGTTTGTTTGTTTGTTTTATTTAGATAGTTTGGAGTTTAGAAGAAGTAGACTTGGACTGAGTGTGTAAATTGTACTGCTGATCAAACCATATTAACATTATTTAAAAAAATAAACTCTTTTTGTGACAGCAATGTCTGCTAAAAGTGAAGGAGTATGGAATAACAGAGTAGATGACGGAGCTGGGTTTTTATTAAACTTTTCACCCTTCTTACCTTTTCCTGGTTGCAGGAGGAGCGTCGCGTTCGGACTACGTACGAGAACGCAGAGAGCTCAGAGAGGGAGAAGTTCTCCTTGTTTTCAGCAGCCGTCAGGGAGAGCCATGAGAAGGAAAGGACAAGAGCAGAGCGTACAAAGAACTGGTCCATCATCGGCTCGGTGCTGGGAGCCCTGATCGGTGTCATGGGATCAACGTACATCAACCGTGTTCGCCTTCAGGTAAAAGCATAGGCTCCTACATTCAGCGTCAGTATTTTCTCAAATTTCATTCAAGCTTTATTTCTACAGGTTAGTCTCATTGAGCCTCCAGGACTCATTTACAAGAGAGACCTGATTTTAACAAAGACTGACGACAACAGTGGACAATCTTAAAAGAAGGCATATAAATTGAAACAAAAAGAAAAGAAAATTGTATTTAAAAAAACTTACGGTAACACTAACTCATTGAATCAGTACAGTAGAAAGTGGGAAACCAATAGGCTCTGCTTTAGGTCAGCTGTGGTTTTTCCTGATTGGAGATTATATGTTCTGTACCTGTGTGGCCTTTTCTTTGTCCATCCATCCATCCATTCTCTTCCGCTTATCCGGGGTTGGGTCGCAGGGGTAGAAGCCTAAGTAGGGAGGCCCAGACTTCCCTAGCCCCAGCCATTTGGGCCAGCTCATCCAGGGGAATCCCAAGACGTTCCCAGGCCAGCCGAGAAACATGGTCCCTCCAGCGTGTCCTAGGTCTTCCTCTGGATCTCCTCCCGGTGGGACGTGCACAGAACACCTCACCAGGGAGGCGTCCAGGAGGCATCCTAACCAGATGCCCGAGCCACCTCAACTGGCTCCTCTCAATGTGGAGAAGCAGCAGCTCTACTCTGAGTCTCTCCCGGATGATGGAGCTTCTCACCCTATCTCTAAGGGAGAGCCCAGACACTCTGCGGAGAAAACTCATTTCGGCCGCTTGTACGCTTGTAATCAGGTCTCTCTTGTAAATGAGTCCTCGAGGCTCAATGGGATTTACCTGTCTAAATAAAGGTTGAATCAATCCGAGATCTCGTTCTTTCGGTCACAACCCAAAGCTCATTTCCATAGATGAGGGTAGGTTGACGGGTAAATTGTGAGCTTCGCTTTTTGACTCGGCTCTCTCTTCACCACGACAGACCGATACAGCGCCTGCTTCACTGCCGACGCTGCACCTATCCGCCTATCCATCTCACGCTCCATTTTTCCCTCATTCGTGAACAAGACCTCGAGATACTTGAACTCCTCCACTTGGGGCAGGACCTCCTCCCCGACCTGGAGTGGGCACTCTACCCTTTTCCGGCTCAAGATCATGGCCTCGGATTTCGAGGAACTGATCTTCATCCCGGCCGCGTTGCACTCGGCTGCGAACCACTCCAGCGAAAGCTGTAGATCATGATCTGATGAAGTCAATAGGACCACATCATCTGCAAAAAGACACATCCCCACAACATCCAGAGCCTTAAGGAACTCCGGGCGAATCTCATCCACCCCTGGGGCCCTGCCACCGAGGAGCTTTTTAACCAACTCGGTGACCTCAGCACCAGAGATTGGAGAGTCCGACCCAAAGTCCCCAGGCTCTGCTTCCTCAGTGGAAGACATACCAGTGGGATTGAGAAGGTCTTCGAAGTACTCTGCCCACCGACCCACGACATCCCGAGTTGAGGTCAGCAGCACACCACCTCCACTATAAATAGTGTTGGTGGCATACCGCTTCCCCCCCCGAGACGCCGGATGGTGGACCAGAATCGCCTCGAAGCCATACGGAAGTCATTCTCCATGGCTTCTCCAAACTCCTCCCACACCCAAGTTTTTGCCTCAGCGACCACCCGAGCCGAATGTCGCTTGGACTGCCGGTACCCATCAGCTGCTTCTGGGGTCCCACAGGCCAAAAAGGCCCGATAGGACTCCTTCTTCAGCCTGACGGCATCCCTCACCGCCGATGTCCACCACCAGGTTTGAGGGTTACCGCCGCGACAGGCACGACAACCTTGCGACCACAGCTCCGATAAGCCGCCTCGACCATATAGGCATGGAACATGGCCCACTCAGACTCAATGTCCCCCGCCTCCCCCGGTACATGTTCGAAGCTCTCCTGGAGGTGGGAGTTAAAGCTCAGTCTCATGGGAGACTCTGCCAGACGTTCCCAGCAGAACCTCACAATACGTTTGGGTTTGCCAGGTCTGACTGGCATCCTCCCCCACCATCGGAGCCGACTCACCATCAGGTAGTGGTTAGTGGACAGCTCCGCCCATCTCTTCACCCGAGTGTCCAAGACATGCGGCCGCAGAGCAGATGAGACGACAACAAAGTCGATCATCGAACTGCGGCCTAGGTTGTCCTGGTGCCAAGAGCACATATGGACACCCTTATGCCTGAACATGGTGTTCATTATTGACAATCCATGACGAGCACAGAAGTCCAATAACGAAACACCACTCGGGTTCAGATCAGGGGGGCCATTCCTCCCAACCACACCCCTCGAGGTCTTGCTGTCATTGCCCATGTGAGCGTTGAAGTCCCACAGTAGAACAAGGGAGTCCCCAGGAGGTGTACTCTCCAGTACCCCCTCCGAAGACTCTAAAAAGGGTGGGTAATCTGGGCTGCTGTTTGGCGCATAAGCACAAATGACAGTCAGAACCCATCCCCCCACACGTAGGCGGAGGGAGGCTACTCTCTTGTTCACCGTGGTGAATCCTAACATACAGGCACCAAGATTGGGGGCAACAAATATGCCCACTCCTGCTTGGTGCCTCTCTCCAGGGGCAACTCCAGAGTGGAAGAGTGTCCAACCCTTCTCAAGGAAACTGGTTCCAGAGCCAGAGCCATGCATTGAGGTGAGTCTGACTATTTCTATCCGGAACCTCTCAACCTCACGCATCAGCTCAGCTCCTTCCCCACCAGAGAGGTGACATTCCACGTCCCAATAGCCAGCTTCTGTAGCCGCGGATCAGACCGCAAGGCTCCCAGCCCTCGGCCACCACCCATCCCACATTGCACCCGACCCCTTTGCCCCCTCCCACAGGTGGTGAACCCATGGGACGGGGGACCCATGTTGCCTCTTTGGGCTGTGCCCGGCCAGGCTCCATGGGTAAAAGCCCGGTCACCAGGCGCTCGCCAGCGTGCCCCACCTCCAGGCCCGGCTCCAGAGTGGGGCCCCAGTGACCCACGTCCAGGCGAGGGAACATTATTTCCATAGTTTGTATTCATCATAAGGGGTCTTTGGGCTGCACTTTGTCTGGTCCCTCACCAATAAACTGTCTGCCTTGGGTGGCCCTACTAGGGGCATGAAGCCCCTGACAGCATAGCTCCTAGGATCATTGGGACACTCAAACCCCTCCAACCACGGTAAGGTGGCAGCCCAGGGAGGGGGCCTTTTCTTTGTTCAGTTCCAAAATATGATTGTCAAAAGAACTGGTTGATATTGTTGTCATACACTTCTGTGTCTTGTAAATCATGTAACTTTCATAATAATTTACTGAACAGGAAGTACAGCTGTAGAGCAGCTTACGATGAGGATCCAGACGTTGACGCAAGTCTGTTGGCTGTTTTCTCTCAGAAAGCTGCTGGGTATGGAGGTCCTGGCTTAAATATGTCCATTGTGTCTCTGCAGGAGCTGAAGAATCTGCTGCTGGAGGCCCAGAAAGGTCCAGAAAGCCTACAGGAGGCCCTAAAAGTCCAAGCTGGAAACCATCGCTCCCAGCAGGACGAGCTTCGAACTCTGATTGACAGTCTCAGACTCACTCTGACTCGGGCGTTTTCACAGAAAGGCAGCATCCCTCTCAAAGAGGACGGTGGATGGAGCCAGTCTTCATCTGATTTATCTCTGTCTGCCTTAAAAGACCTCCACGACGGCAACCAGAAGACCCAGTCCCTCCTGGGGTCCCTCCCGCTGCAGCTGGGACAGCTCGAGCAAAGCCTTGGCAGGGTCGAGGGTCAGCTGTTAATGGTGACAAAGATGCTGGAGACCAAACCACAAACAGAAACACGGGCCGGTCCGCTGCCAATTCAGAGGCCGGGGACAGAGGATGGGTCCAAGACTGTAGTGAGAAGTCTGGAGGAGACCAAGAGGACACTGGGAGGACAAATCAGGACAAATACTGTTTATAACGCAGTGTTCACCTACACCGCCGCCGCCATCAGTATCTCTGCTGTGTACCTGCTGCTCAGAGGGGCAGCTTAAACATGACAGATCTGAATATTTATATTCTTTGTGACTCTAACGAGCATCCGGAGCAATTATCTAGATGAAGAAACGTGGAATACGGAGTTCAACTCTTTCTTTAATAAACGAGGCACCAGAGTTACTACAGTCTGGAAATGTTTGGAATTTCATTTGAGTGTTTTTAAGGTTTGTAAGAATTGAAAAACACTGGTGCTTCCAGACTCTTTCAGCATTTCCTGAAAAAATAAATTAAATTCTGCAAGTTGCTGAAAGGAGCAGGGTACTGTAGAGGAAAGGGTCCTCAGATCGTTGAATTTTTATTAGTAATTTTATTCTGAAGGGACACCACTTTCTTTCCGGTTCTGAAGCAAGAAATTATTAAATCAGACTCAAGTTTTATTTTTTAGTGAGTTCTTTTCTTATTAAATTCAAATGTCATATATAATAAAACGCTTTGAGTCAAAGTACAAACCGGATTCCAAAAAAAGTTGTGACACTAAACAAATTGTGAATAAAAACTGAATGCAATGATGTGGAGATGGCAAATGTCAATATTTTATTCGTAATATAACATAGATGACGGATCAAAAGTTTAATCTGAGTAAATGTAACATTTTAAAGGAAAAATATGTTGATTCAAAATTTCACAATGTCAACAAATCCCAAAAAAGTTGGGACAAGTACCAATAAGTGACTGGAAAAAGGAAATTGAGCATATAACGAACAGCTGGAAGACCAATTAACACTATTTAGGTCAATTGACAACATGACTGGGTATAAAAAGAGCTTCTCAGAGTGTCAGTGTCTCTCAGAAGCCAAGATGGTAAGAGGATCACCAATTCCACCATTGTTGCGCAGAAAGATAGTGCAGCAATACCAGAATGGTGTTACCCAGCGTAAAATAGCAAAGACTTTTAAGTTATCATCATCAACCGTGCATAACATCATCAAAAGATTCAGAGAATCTGGAACAATCGCTGTGCGTAAGGGTCAAGGCCCTAAAACTCTACTGGATGCTCGTGATCTCCGGGCCCTTAAACGTCACTGCACCTCAAACAGGAATGCCACTGTCAAGGAAATAACAGAATGGGCTCAGGAATACTTCCAGAAAGCATTGTCAGTGAACACAATCCACCGTGCCATCCGCCGTTGCCAGCTGAAACTCTACAGTGCGAAGAGGAAGCCATTTCTAAGCAAGCTCCACAAGCTCAGATGTTTGCACTGGGCCAGATGTTATTTAAAATGGAGTGTGGCAAAATGGAAGACTGTTCTGTGGTCAGATGAGTCACCATTTGAAGTTCTTTATGGAACACTGGGACGCCATGTCATCAGGACCAGAGAGGACAAGGATAGCCCAAGTTGTTATCAACGCTCCGTTCAGAAGCCTGCATCACTGATGGTATGGGGTTGCATGAGCGCTTGTGGCATGGGCAGCTTGCATGTCTGGAACGGCACCATTAATGCAGAGAACTATGTTCAGGTTCTAGAACAACATGTGCTCCCATCTAGACGTCATCTCTTTCAGGGAAGACCCTGCATTTTTCAACACCATAATGCCAGACCACATTCTGCAGCAATCACAACATCATGGCTACGTAGGAGAAGGATCCGGGTACTGAAATGGCCAGCCTGCAGTCCAGATCTTTCACCTATAGAGAACATTTGGTGCATCATAAAGAGGAAGGTGCCACAAAGAAGGCCCAAGACGATTGAACAGTTAGAGGCCTGTATTAGACATGAATGGGAGAGCATTCCTATTTCTAAACTGGAGAAACTGGTCTCCTCTGTCCCCAGACGTCTGTTGAGTGTTGGAAGAAGAAGGGGGGATGCCACACAGTGGTAAAAAAATGGACTTGTCCCAACTTTTTTGGGATTTGTTGACGCCATGAAATTTGGAAACAACAGATTTTCCCCTTAAAATGATACATTCTCTCAGTTTAAACTTTTGATCTGTGATTTGTGTTCTATTCTGAATAAAATATTAGATGTTGGCACCTCCACATCATTGCATTCAGTTTTTATTCACAATTTGTTTAGTGTCCCAACTTTTTTGAAATCCGGTTTGTACAATTTTGTGAGGTTTATTATCGATTTTGGTGAATATAAGTGATCAAAATCAAATCATGAGTACAGCTGAAGAAATGAATGATGGCTTTAATTTGACAACACAAGATGAGGTTAGATAATTGTCTTCTAACTTTAATATGGTGAATTATGAGGTTTATTTATTTTATTTATTCATTCATTCATTCATTCATTCATTTCATTTCAGTTAAAACAAGACTTATTCCATACAAATAAAATAAGATACATATAAAATGAAAGGCAGCAGAAGAAGAACGAATTCTTATCATTTCTGCCTCTTCTAAACAATATCAATTCAAAACGATCTATTCAAACAATACATAATATAACCAACCATAAAACTTATCACAATTCATTATAATTCCATATCATTATCCAACTTAAATATATTTCATCATCAATACATTCTTAATCTTTTTTTTAAATACAACTAATGAATTCTCCTTTTTGATATCATTATCCAAACCATTCCATAAACTAATTCCCTTGATCGAAGTAGACCTGCCCTTAAAACTTGTTCTATATTTCATCTTTACAAAAATATCTGTTCCCTTTAAATTATAACATCTATTCCTTTTAATGAAATACACTTGTATGTTTGATGGTAACTTTTGGCTCTGAGCCTTGTACATAAATAATAGAATATTGTAATCCACCAAATCATAAAACTTAAGAATATCAGTTGATAAAACAAAATACTTGAAGGATGGCGATAATGCTTTTTTGCGATAACTCTTCTAACTCTTTTTTGTAAAATAAAAATAGACTTGGTTGCAGTTTTACAAGCTGTACCCCAGATAGCAACACAATAAATCAAATGTGGCACAACAATTGTATGGTACAGTGACACGATGCTTTATCAGTCAGACATTCTCGTACTTTATGTAGCGTTGCTATAGACCTGGAAATTTTAGTTCTTACAAAATGAATATGTTTTTTCCATGTCAATGTATCATCTATAATCACTCCCAGAAACTTTACTTCACTCACTCTTTCTATCACAGCACCATCAATTTCGAAAGGAAAATCTATAGATGGCTTTTTTTTTACTAAATATCATATAATTTGTTTTTTCTAGATTAAGTGATAATTTATTTAATGTAAACCAAGTATGAATTTTTACAAACTCAATCTTCATTAACTCAAACATCTGATTTAAGTATTTACACCAAACAAAAGAAAGTAGTATCGTCTGCAAATAAAACACTCTTGAGAATACTAGACACCTTAACTAAATCATTTACATACAAAATAAACAGCTTAGGCCCAAGAACTGAACCTTGAGGTACTCCACATGAGACATTACACAAACCAGATCTAACCTCATTAATCTGTACAAACTGTTTTCTTCTGTTTAAATAGCTAGATATCCACTGTATGGCTAGACCTCTAATACCATATTGTTTTGATTTTTCAAGCAAAATAGTGTGATCAATGGAGTCAAAAGCCTTTTTCAAATCAACAAATAGACTTACACAAAATTGCTTTGCATCTATCGCTGTAGTAACCTGTTCCATTAAATCCATCAGAGCCAGACATGTTGAATTATTAGATCTGAAACCGTATTGCTCATTACTCAAAATATTATGTTTATCTATAAATTTGTCCAGCCTGGACACAAATAATCTTTCAAGAGGTTTAAAAGCAGAGTAAATTATCATCTATAAAGTTAACTAAATGAAGTAGGCAGATGTAAATCTGTCAATCTAGGAAAACTTAATTCTAATTAATAATGATGAATTTTTTTAGACTGGACAACTTCTTATCTTGGGCATCAGACACCAGCAGAGAGAAGGAGCAAGTTTTTCCTACCGATTGGAGGTTATAATTCAACCACCGAGGGATACCAGGACTCTGTTAAGATGAGTTAAAGCGTCAAAGGTGGGATTTCCCTCGACACTGGACATCAGCTGAAATCTAGAGTGCTCGTTATCTGGCTCCCCATGGGTCAGTTGATGAGCTCCCAGAGGGCTGCGTTTTCTCCTTCTGGTGGCAAAGATCTTCTGGCATAAGTTTCCGATTGTTTGGTCTTTCTCCTTCAAAGCTTTTTCCAGACTGCTCTAAGCCGAACGTCAGAATAAATTCCTTTAACTTAGAGGGTGTTACAATATTGATGGTCGAGCCAATCACAACAGAAGGGTGGACCTTTGTTTCAAGTTACTGTTTGAACTTTAATAACCTTAATAAAAAAATTAATGGCTAATTTACTCTGCTTTGGTAAATTCTCAATATAACAGGATAATCAAAACTTCTAAGCAGTTTTTACTCATCCATAAACATTTTCTTTAGACTTATGCAAACAGAGTTGAAACCTCTGAATACCAGTTTTACATCAAAACATTCACGTTCAGAAAAATGATTTCTACCGTGGGATGGCAAAAAAAAAAGAGTCCTTGAGAACAATAAGGTCTTTCTCACATTAAGACTGATGAATCCTCCCTTTTAGGAAGAAATAAGCATATGCTTTAGATGTTATATTTCAAAGGTCAGATGGAAAGTTTCTCATACAAAGACCTTTCAGCTTTGCTGATATCATAATAGCAGGTGTGCAATTAATTACAACAGATTTTTGTTATTATTTTATTTTTTTTGTAACATGGTTCCTTACTGTCCATCTATGGAATGAGAGTCAGTCTTACTTTCAAAGTATCAAAAGAATAAAAGTTGATGGTAGAAAAACCTTGATGTGTCTCTACACTACTTTCCACTTTGACTTTATAGAAAATGAACAACAACAGTTTTAATTTCAGTTTTTACCATTAGAGCTGAAAACTTCCTGAATATTCATAAGCAGCAACGTTTATTCTGCCTGTCTGTACTAATAACCTTCTTCTTTTGGCTTTTCTCTCTTCAGGGGTCACCACAGCGAGTCATCCTCCATCTCACTCTGTCCTTTGTCCTCACTCCAACTACCTCCATGTCCTCTCTAACTGCATCCATACATCTCCTCTTTGTCTTTTTCCTGGCAGCTGCATTTCTAACATCTGTCTACCAATATACCCACTGTCCCTCCTCTGGACATGCCCAAACCACTGTCACTCCTCTG